CCTTCTTTGTAGGTCTTGCAGGGATGTTGTCTCTCCCCAGTCAGGCTGCCAGCCTTTCCTGCACTACAACTGGGAGTGGGGCCCGGGTGCAAAGCAGGAGTTCCCAAAGCCACCATTAGTCTCACAGCAGGGGTTTGGGCACACAGAGTCATCCAGACCGGACAAGGTTCCCCTTACGCTTCTCCCACCATGGTCTGGGGAAGAGCCACTCTCTCTTTTTAACACCACTAGTGGGTCCCTTCTTACCACACCCAGACACCAAGGCTTCTCCTCCTTCCCACCAAGACCTGCAGCTCCAGCTCCTCCCCTTTCCCATGTTCCCCAGGATGCCCCGCTCTCTCCTGGTTCTACCTGGCTCCAACACCAATCCTGCCAAGGGGATGAAGCAGCACAGGGAGCACCTGCTGTTTGCTGAGCCTCTTGACTGCTTTTTTCTCCAGTTAGAAGCAGATTGTCAAAGGAAGTTTCAAATGTCCTGGGAAACCCAGAGATTTGTTGTAGGGTGACTTGTTGGTGTCATGGAGACATGATGGAATGGTTTGCTTGACTACAGTGTTGCACCAGGTGGGTTATTACAACCCACCACTGAGGGAAACTGAGGTTCTTGATAATCAATCCCTTGGGGTGGGTTAGAGTGAAACAACACTGAATTTCCGATATTTACATATATATATATATATCTATACGCACACACACACACACACAGAGTCAGGAATTTGTTGTCTTCTCCAGGTCCATCTGGATTGTGAAGCCTGTCCCTGTGCAGTCACTGACTCACACTTTTCCCAGATTACATGACCGGCGTCAGTGAGCAGAAGAGACCAGTCATGGTGGAGGAGAGGGGCCCCTTACAGATCACCTGCTCTTTCCAGATATGCCACTTTGGGGCCATGTGGTGGTGCCAGCACAGGGTACCACACATCTGCAACCCCACACCTGCCCTCGTTTCCCACAGCAGCTGGCTCTGAGGGGAGCAGCCAGCTCAGCACATGGCCCAACACTGTGGGGAAATAGGAGCTCCAGGGGCTGGAGGAATTTCAGGTCTCTAACATCAGTGTGTGCCTCGGTCCTGGTTACAGAGAAAGGAGGTGGAGTTTTAGGACTGTGTGAGTGTGACCAAGTTGTTTATTCCATACCACCCATGTCATCACTGAGGTGTGGTTTTGGCAGGAAAAGCCAGGGGCTACAACGGGTAGTGCATCATCCTGCCTGTCTCCCTCCAACGGGAGGGTGTTGGGATCAGCCCCTGTGGACTCGACCCCTCTTTCATCACCACTAGTCCTCTTTCCATTCCTTCGAGCCACAGCACATTTAATTGGTGCCCAGTGTGGGGTCAAACCCGCAACGCTGAGGCTGTCTCATGGTCTACTGACTGAGCTAATTAAATGTGCTGGTTTTAACACCAGCAGGGAACTAGACTCCAAATAAGCCACTCCCTTTCCTGCCTCCCCTTCTGGTAAGGGAGGGAGAATAAAGGAGAGATTATGGGTTGCAATAACAATTTACTAAAAGCACAAGCAATAGAATAAGACATGCACAATAACAGAATCACAGAATATCCTGAGCTAGAAGGGACACACAGGGATCATTGAGTCCAGATCCTGGCCCTGCAGAGGCCCATCCCCAAGAGTCACACCCTGTGCCTGAGAGTATCATCCAGATACTCCTTGAACTCTGTCAGCCCAGTGTTGTGCCCACTGCCTTGGGGAGCCTGTTCAATGCCCAGCCACCATCTGGGGGAAGAACCTTCTCCTAATATCCAACCTAAAGCTCCCCTGACACAATATCAGGCCATTTTCTCGGGTCCTGTCACTGGTCACACAGAGCAGAGCTCAGTGCCTGCCTCTCTTCTGCCCCTCATCAGGAAGGTGTAACTGCAGTGAGGTCTCCCCTCAGTTTCTTCTTTTCCAGCTGAACACACCAAGTGCCCTCAGTGTCCTCACACGGCTTCCCCTCAAAACCCTTCACCTCCTTCATTGCCCCCCTTTGGACACTCTCTAATGGTTTCACATTTTTCCTATATTGTGTCCCCCAAACTGCCCTAATATTGAGGTGAGGCTGCCCCAGGGCAGAGCAGAGCGGGACAATCCCCTCCTTGGCCCAGCCAGTGATGCTGGGCCTGATGCCCCCAGGAGAGGGTTGGCCCTCCTGGCTGCCAGGGCTGCTGACTCATGGCCAACTGGCCACCCACCAGGACCCCCAGGGTCCTTTCCCAGCACTGCTTTCCAGCATCTCATTCCCAGTCTGTCCATACGTCTGGGGTTGCCCCATCCCAGGTGGAGAATCCAGCAACGGCAGCATTAATAGCAAAAGTATACAAAAGTGAAGGTGTTTTACCCACAAAAGGGTATTCACCACCAGGAACAAAATAAAACCAAACTGGTTTGCACTTTCAGGCCCATGTGGTCTCCAGGAAAAGGCAATATAAGTGACTGTCCCTGTGCCCCGCACCACCTGGTATTCGGGGTACAAAGGTACTCTGGGGGGGGAGCTCCCATAGCCAAAAATTCCCACCCCCAAACCCAAGACAATGGACAACAATGATGGGCAAACCCCCAAAATTGAGATCATCCATGTCACACCGCCTGCTTTTCCGGACTGCTGTGCTCAGCTGTGCTCAGCAGTATTTGGCCTGGCTCATCTCCTCCTGCACCAGTCCCCTGCTGTCTCCTTCCCCCCAGCTGCTCCCAGTTTGCCACCTCTCCATTCCCCCTGTGGCTGCTTCCGCTCCGCCCGCACCAGGGGCTCACATTCCACTGGGCTTGGACCAGCCCCTCCTCTTTCCTTGGAGCAGGGTTTGCACTCCGATGGGCTTGGGCTTGTTGCTGCTTTTCTCGGAGCTTGTCACTGTTGTCCTTCAGCACCACGTCTTGGAGCCATGGCTGGAGGGAACGGAAAGGGGACTGGCAGTGATGGAAGAGCGGCCAATCCACCGGGGCTGATCCCAACACCTTCCACCGGAGGGAACCGGGCAAGATGATGCAGCCCCCAGCTTTTCCTGCCGAAACCACACCGCAGCAATGACATTCCAGTGATGGAATAAACAACTTGGTCACACCCACGCAGTGCTAAAACTCCACCTCCTTTCTCTGTAACCAGGAGAGCGTCTGTGCCATCCATGCCACCCTGGTGCAGGGACGTCTGTTGTCTGGGCAAAAGCCTGGAAAAGAGAGGATTTGTTCGTATGTGCAAGGGCCATAAAGACAGTGAAGGGTCTAGAGGAGAAGCTGGGTGGAGTGATTAAGGTCACTTGGCTTGTTCAGCCTGAAGAACACTGAGAATATCTCATCCCAGTCGGCAGCTTCCTCACAAGGGGCAGCAGAGGGGAAGGTGCTGATCTCTTCTCTCTGATGACCAGTGACAGGACTGGAGGGGACAACAGGAATCTGTGTCAGAGGAGGTTTAGGCTGCATATTAGGAAAAGATTATTCCCCCAGAGGGTGGTCAGGCATTGGAACAGGCTCTCCAGGGTTTGGTCATGGCTCCAAACCTACCAGAGATCAAGGAGCTTTTGGACAAGGCTCTCAGGCACATGGTGGGATTGTTGGGGTGTCCTGTGTAGGGCCGGGAGTTGGGCTTGAGGATCGTCGTGGGTCCCTTCCAACTCAGGATATTCTGTGATTCTATGAAGTTTGAGCTCTGGGGCAGTTCTCCCCTGTCTGTGCTATTTCACCCCCATAGCCAGAAATGTCCAGTCAATGAACCTCTTTCTGAAAGCAGCCTCTCTTCAGGGCATGGATTAAGTTGTGAGAAAGCCTCTGCAGTGGAAATTTTCTCTCTCTACATCCCAGGACAGAACAACTCTTACTGTAGACTACACATGCCTACTTTCACCTGGTCTCATTGCACTGTTCCAAGGGCTGAAAAAAACTGTTGAAGGCTCCACCAAGTCCAGCAGTCCTGTGAAAAAACTTCTTTGGTCTTTGCAGAGCTTTTCTCCCACTGCAGAGAAAGGAGGGATTGTTCCCAGACATAACAAAATGGATTCTGGCACGCAGTTTCTGTGGGAAGTGGACCCTCAAACCACAAGGAAGTGAAATTTCATGGCGTAGGAAGGACTGGCAGATGCAGACCATGTTATCCTGGTGTAGTAAACACAGTTGTGCTCTGTATGAACTTTCCTTCTACAAAGTTTAAGGTTGACCGTGGATGCCATTAACAGTAAAATCCCTTTGGCAGCTGGAATATCTTCACCTTGCTAGTTTTGCAAGGCTTAGAAAGCACAGAGTAACCCAACGTATGACTAAGCAAACTTGATGCAAGCCTGTGTTAACAGTCAGTTTAGAAACACCAAGCACCAGGTGACAGAATAAAGACTGAGCAACATCTCTCCCTGGGCATCTCAGGAGAGCATCTCTAAGGGGACAGGATGACACAGAGACAAGGGCTCGAATGCAAAAGAAGTTTAATGAGTCCAAAGAGAGAAATTAGGTCATTTTGAGCAATGGTCATGGTGTGTTTAGCACCAGGGAGACATAAGAGATTGTGCCCCGTGACTGCAGCTGAGAACCTCTAGATATCCATTGCCTGCCCCACAGAGGCAGCAGGGCCAGCAGGTCCTCCCCAGGCTGGCTGTGAGGGCCTCACAGACCGGGAGAGCACAAGGGAACAAGGACACAGGACAGAAATGAGAGAGTGGCAGAGGGCAGAGGCAGGGCTGGGCCGTGCTTGCCCAGAGCCCAGGCTGGCCCCGTCCTTCTGCAAGGGCTGCTGAGCTCGCTCAGCCCCTCTGGAAGCAGCAAGATGATGCTCCACCACCAGTGAAATACCATCTTGTGAGTCCTCGAGGGCCTTCCCTAGGGCCAGGGGCAGCAGCTTTAGCAGGGGAAGCAGCTCCTGCCACAGTGGCCACCACCAAGGCCAGAGAGGCCAAAGCCCCCGGAGTTGATGGGCACTCCCTGAGAGCTGAGGATGCTGCCAACGGCAGCGGAGGTGGAGGATCCCACGGCGGTGTTCTGTGGGAAGGAGCTGAGGATGGGCCCGGGCAGGGTCACCACCACAGGGGAGGGCTGGATGGTCACGATGGAGTCCTGGCACTGCCTGACACAGGGCTCATTGCAGCTGTTGGCCAGCGGGGTCGGGCCGCAGGGCTGGCAGGGCCGGCACGGGGTGTAGCAGGACATGTCTGGGGCTGGAGCTGCACCTGGGACAGAGGGCAGGGGGAAGAAAAGCAGGAGGGGTGAGTGAAAGCCTGTCACACCACCACAAGGGAGAGAAGACACGAGGTGGCACCAAGAGCTGGAGGTGTCATACAGAGTCACAGAATCACAAAATATTCTGGATCAGAAGGGACCCACAAGGATCATCAAGTCCAACTCATAAGTGAATGGCCCATATGGGAATCAAACCCACAACCCTGGCACAGGGAGACCCACAGGCTTCTCCTTCTCCAAAGCCCAAAAGAGACCTGCAAAATGCAACCAAGCCCAGGGAGATCCCTTCCTAGCCCATAACCCCTAAGTGAGCTCCAGCTTCTCTCCTTGCCACCCCTTCTGCACCCTTCCCTCCCCCGTGGCAAGCAGCCCGAAAAGCAAGCATAGAACCAAAGAGCAGTTTTGTGCTGAAAAATCCCGTGGAAGGATAATGAGTGGACAGAAGAAAAAAAGAAGGATAAAGAGCTTCAGACTCACCTTGTTCCCAAGGAGATCGTGTCAGGAGGAGTGGATGAGAGGATGAGAAGAAGGACCCACTTTTATACTTCTCCTGCACTGCCCCAGGCCCGCAGTCACTGCACCAGGGCAGTAATTTTCCAACAGACTCATCTCCATAGCAAAATATCCCACCTAATGCCCCAGGTTGTGTTTTGTTTTCCATCAGTACCGCCAGCACATTTCCTCATTTCTGCCATGCCCATTAGGCTTTGTAGGCTCCTTTCAAGTTCCAGGATGACAGGTCCAAGGATTTCCCAAGAGGGATCACGTCACCACCATCAGAAGATGTGCCCTCAAGTGTAGGAGAGGTCTGTGCAGATGTAGGACATGGAATTGGGGAAATCTGGTGAGGTTCTTTTCACCCCCCATTGCAAAAGAGTTTGAATCTCCTCCTGCCAATGCCGGACTTCGTCCTGGGTGCACAAAGGCTCCTGTGCCTGACGATGCGACTTATCCTTCACCCTCAATCCTCTACTGATTTATTTGGAAGAGTCATCCCCTCTCATGGCCATCTCTGGGCGTCTCATATCACTGCCTTTAGTCACCATGAAGAAGGAAAATGTTATCCTTCCTAAATACCATGATTATCCAACAGTTCTGATGGAGTCAGGTCTCTCCTCATATGTAAGGGATGTGTTGGACCTTGGGACAGCACCTTGGATGTCCCATTCTCCTCATGCTGCCATGTACTTTGGCTGCACTCTCTAGACCCTGACCAACAGGAGAGACTTTTCCAAACATGTTGACTGTCCTTTGAGCCCCTGAAGCTGTGGGTGTGTTGGCAAGAAGGTCATGCTGACAGCAATGGCTGTTGTGGCTCCCTGTAGCTGTGTACTCAGGTATAGCCCAGTGCTTGGACCAGTTTTCTTGGGTTATGGATGGAGCTGCCCTTGCTGAAGGGGAATTGTGTTCCTGCAAGGGACGTGGGTCTGCACACAACACACACTCCTGGCTTGCCCTCACAGCAAATGCTGACACAAGGCCAACCCAAAATTAGACCGTGACTCGCCACAGGCAGGGAGAGCCTATCCCAGGAAATTTGCCTACTGAAGGCATTCCCTTGCCCTCCTGGGATGCATCCCAGCTGCCTCCATGTCTGCAGAGCAGGAAGTGCATCACTGCTTGGTGTAGTGTGAGAGCTGTGTTTGTACCCAGGGCCCTTCTGGGCACATCCCCTCCCTGAGCATCCCCAGGCATGTGGCACAGTAGGTCCCTGATAACCCTCATGCACTGGGGAGTTGGAAAAGTTCCTACTCCCCCAACACTGCTGGGTTGCTCTCCAAGCGAGGCCTTTGGGCATTGGAAATGAAATGTGCTGAAGCACAAATGCTAAGAGAATACTCGATGTATAGGACGAGAGATGAATCCTTACCAGTGGGAAGATGTTTTCTGCAACCCTTTCTATCCCCCCACAGAGCACTCAGGAGAGCTCCTCACCACAGCATGGTCTTATTGGCCTGGAGTAAGAGGCTCATGCACCTGCTCTCCAAGTCTCTCCCCAAGGCACACCCTCTCTCGTAACACAGGAGGTCTGAGGGCTCTCAGATTGTAGCATAGTTCAGTCTCCAGCCTGTACTTCTTGAAGAGGTTTTTCATTTCCATGTGCATTCATCCTTCGTGAATGCCAGAGGGCTCCTGTGGCCCAGTTCTCCAGATAGTCTAGGACTCCCTTTATAGCAGCCATGACCTGGAATGCATCAGCTGACTTTCACTGGTTTTCAGGCAGTCCTTTTTTGATGCCCACTCACTGCTGAGAAGGCCCTCCCAGCTTCTTGGAGTGCTTTCAGGGGATGCAGCAGCCTGGGAGGCCTTGTAGGTGATGACTGAGAGAGGCACTGACTCCTCTGTCTCCACACTTCTGAGATTACCTTCCATCATGTGAAAGACTCCCTTTCTAACACAGTCCAGGATGCTGTTGGATGACATATCCCTAAGGGCCCAGGGCTGCCTCATGGTGTCCTCCAGGACCCACTTCCTCTGCTGCAAAGCTCTTTGGCAGCCAGTTGGTTCCAGCCATTTTGTGACTGCTGTGTCTTTCAGAGGGAGCTGAGAGCGGCCTTGACCTGACACCAACAGGGTGCATGGAACCAAATCACACACACTCATGTCAGTCCAGTCTGTTTAAGTGTTCCCACATCTGATCCTGCCCTAGTGCAGGTCAGCCTTTCCTGCTGCCTTTCCTGCTGTCAACTTTCCAAGGCGCATCAGGAGCCCAATCTCTTGACAGCAATTCCAGCAGGTAAAGGCCAAGGCGAAGAATCCCTTCAGTGCCTCCACCTTTCCTGTCCCCAGTGAAGCTGCCCCAGTCAGCCTTTGGACAAATGTCCCTTTTGCTGCTCATCTCCTTGAAAGAATTCCTTGTGCCCTCTGCATGATGTGCCTGTTTCAGGTGGGCTTTGGTTGTCCCTGATGCTGCACACTCGGACAAGCTGGCAAACATTCTCCCCAGAGCAAACTGCAGCAATAAGAAGAGAGCTAAAGCATCTTCCTACTAAGGGAGCTGTAAAAAATTCCAATTCACAGCTCCAAGACAACATTCCCTGCCTGTGTAGGACCCCTTCAGCATCTGGAGCACATCTTCTACCTTCACTGACACAACGTTACCCAGGATGTCCTTGACTCCTCATCTCAGCACATGAAAGCAGCTGACATGGCAGAGCAGGCACGTCAGAAATGAGGAAATGAAGTGGCAACGTTGACAGAAACCAAACCACAACCTGGGCCATTACATAGAACATTTTGTTTTTGAGGTGAGTCTGTTAGAAAATTACTGCCCTGTGCAGTGACCGTGGTCCTGGGGCGGTGCAGGAGCAGTATAAAAGAGAGACCTTCTCCTCACTCTCTCATCCGCTCCTTTGCCTCCATCTCATTGGGAACAAGGTCAGTCTGAAGCTCTTTTTCATCCTTCTCCTCCTTCTCCTCCTCCAATGCACCTCAGCTCACACCTGCCCCAGTCCTATGTGGGGTCCTGGAAGTGCTATCACGGGAGAGGGGAGGGGGTGGAAAGGGGCAGAAGTTGTGTCATGATCAGAGGTTGGAGCTTGGTGAGGTGTCTCCTGAGGTACGGGCTAGGAAGGGATCTCTCTGGGCTTGGTTGCTATGAACAGGGTTATTTTGGGATGAAAGGAAGTTGATACCTTTGGACCTCCTTACACAGTCCCCAGCTCTTTTCTCCAGTTCATGACTTACCTCACTCTCGGTGGGGTGACAGGTTGCTCCATATCCACAGTTTCTGCTCTGCTTCCCCTGCCCTCTGTCCCAGGTGCAGCTCCAGCCCCAGACATGTCCTGCTACACCCCGTGCCGGCCCTGCCAGCCCTGCGGCCCGACCCCGCTGGCCAACAGCTGCAATGAGCCCTGTGTCAGGCAGTGCCAGGACTCCACTGTTTTCATCCAGCCCTCCCCCGTGGTGGTGACCCTGCCCGGGCCCATCCTCAGCTCCTTCCCACAGAACACCGCCGTGGGATCCTCCACCTCCGCTGCCGTTGGCAGCATCCTCAGCTCTCAGGGAGTGCCCATCAACTCCGGGGGCTTTGGCCTCTCTGGCCTTGGTGGTGGCTACTGTGGCAGGAGGTGCTTCCCCTGCTAAAGCTGCTGCCCATGGCCCTGGGGAAGGCCCTCGAGGACTCACAAGATGGTATTTCACTGGTGGTGGAGCATCATCTTGCTGCTTCCAGAGGGGCTGAGCGAGCTCAGCAGCCCTTGCAGAAGGACGAGGCTCTGGGCAAGCACAGCCCAGCCCTGCCTCTACCCTCTGCCACTCTCTCATTTCTGTCCTGTGTCCTTGTTCCCTTGTGCTCCCTGGTCTGTGAGGCCCTCACAGCCAGCCTGGGGACCACCGGCTGACCCTGCTGCTTCCATGGGGCAGGCAGATGGACACCTGCTGGAATCTCCACCAGAGTTACTTGGTGCAGACTCTGATGTGCCTCTGGTGCTCCCTGCACTCAGTTACCCAGTTTCCACCTTTTGACACAATAAAGTTCTGCTGCATTCGAGCCCTTGCCTATGTGTCATCCTTTCCCCTGCATATGCCATCACAAAATGATCGGGGAGGTTGTTGGATATGCTTGTGCAGTGGCCATTATCACAGGGTTGCTTTGACCATGCTTAGAGTGTGATTTCCTTTTTTCAAACTTCTCTACCTATCTGAGGCTGGATAGAATGATCCAACACACTTCAATGACAGAGTTATACCACAGGTGCTTTTATGTCTCCCACTCTCAGCAAGCCCAATTCCCTCAGCCTTCCTCCTCAACTAAGTGCTCCAGCCCCCTCAGCATCTAGTCCCTCTTCTGCTCAGTTTGCTGAGCTTGATGAAAATCTTTCATAGGATGACAATAATTTAGGTTGGAATGTGCCTTATGACCATCTAGTCCAACCATATATCTAATGATGTCAAGCCTACCACTAAACCATATCATGAATTGCCACATCTTTTAAACACCTCCATGATCAGTGACTCAACCACTTCCCTGGGCAATCTGTTCCCGTGCATGACAATCATTTCATTGAAGAAATTTTTCTTAATGGCCAATTAAATCTCCCCTGGTGCAACTTGAGGGTATATTCTCTCATCCTATCGCTTGTTACTTGGGAGAAGGGACTGACACCCACCTCGCTACAACCTCCTTTCAGGGAGTTTTAGAGAGTGATAAGGTCCCTCTCTGAGTCTAACTTTTCTCCAGGTTTAACATCCCCAGCTCCCTCATCTGCTCCTCATCAGACTTGTGCTCCAGACCCTTCTCCAACTCTGTTGCCCTTCTCTGGACACGCTCCAGCCCCTCAATGTCCTTCTTGGAGTGAGGGGCCCAGAACTGAACCCAGGATTCAAGATGTGGCCTCACCAGTGCCAAGTACAGGGGGACAATCACTGCCCTGGTCCTGCTGCCACACTATTCCTGTTACAAGTCAGGAGTCCATTGGCCTTCTTAGCCACCCGGACACACTCAGGCTCATGTTCAGCCACTGTCACCAGCACCACCAGGTCCTTTCCAGCCACTCTACCCCCAGCCTGGAGCACTGCAGGGAGTTGTTGTGACCCAGGGGCTGGACACAGCATTTCTCCTTGTTGAACTTTATACAGTTGGCCTTGGCCCATCAATCCGGCCTGGTCAGATGCCTCTGTAGAGCCTTCCTAACCTCCAGCAGATCTAGTACAACAATGACACCCAACTTGGAGTCATCTGCAAACTAAGTGAGGGTGCACTTGATCCCCTCATCCAGGGCGTCCATAAAGATACTAAACAGAACTGGACCCAAAACTGAGCCCTGGGCGACACCACTAGTGATCAACCACCAACTGGATTTAACTGCACTCACCACTACTCTCTGGGCCCAGCCATAAAGACAATTTCTTATCCAGTGAAAATGATACACATGAGCAGGCAGTTTCTCCAGGAGAATGCTGTGGGAAATGGTGTCAAAAACTTTACTAAAGTCCAGGTAAACAAAATCTACATCCTTTCCCTTGTCCACTAAGTGGGCTGGTTATCTTGTCGTAGGAGATCAGGTCAGTCAAGCAGGATGTGTCTTTTCTACAGCTATTCTGACTGAACCTGATCACCTGGTTGTCCTGTATGTGCTTTGTGAGTGCACTCAAGATGATCTGCTCCACAACCTTCCCTGGTGCCAAGGGCAGACTAACGGGCCTGTAGTTCTCTGGATGCTCCTTCTGGCCCTTCTTGTAGATGCATCTTTCTTGCATTAGAGCCCAAGATTCAACAAAGATGTTGATGACAGTCCTCAGTGTCTGGAAATAGTCCTGCTGTCTGGAAACAGTCCTGCTGTCTGGAAACAGCCCTGGCAGTGGCACCTCTTTTGATGGCATTACCACAAAAGCATCTTTTTCTGGTCTTGCTTTTGGGCTGCTGTTTCTCAGGGACAGAAGGACAACTGGCTGCTACCAAGCCAATGTCTGATCAGGGCTCTGGGTGGACACGTGTCACCCTGCCCAGCTGTGTCCTGCAGCAGTTCAGCCACTCCCCTCCCTCAGTTGCTCCTGGACAGCCCTTCGAGACAGCCCTTCCTGCCCTGAATTTCTCCCTGCCTCCATCTCTCCACGATTTTTTCCAGGAAACCCTGGACACAGACAGGGAAGGAGGAAAGTGAATGGGAAACTGCCTGTGGGGCTGTGCGTGTGTTGATCAGCTCTAAGCTCCCCCTGGCCATTTGTATTCACTCCACTATCACAATGGGATCAACCAAGAATTGGAAGTGCAAGGGAGTGAAATACTCTTGGGTCAAGATAATGGCAGTTGAGAAGGAAAGGGACAAGAAAGGAAAAAGCACAAGTTGTGCAAGACCAATCACCCACCACCTTGCAGCAGCAGCTCAATGCCCAGCCATCTCCAAACAGAACAACTACTTTGGAGAGACTGCCCATAGTTTTTTTGCTGGGCACGTTATATGGCATGGCAAAGCCCTTCCATCAGCTTCAGCTGAACCACTGGAAAGACATTTCCTACTTGATTCTTGTTCCCTGGCACAGTGGCAGCCAGAGAAGGAGGAATTGCTTCCTCACCTCTCCTCTCATCTCCTCACCTCTCCTCTGCTTGCCTCACCTCCTACTACCCTTGGAGGACATGGATGACTTCCAAAACTGCAAGTCACAGTACCTGAGGGGGACCCATTGCACTCCCCATTCTCCTCTCCTTTTGTGAGTGCTGAAGGCTCCCCAAGCACCCCCGACTTCCTCAGGGCCTACAGTGTCCACAGAAGAGGCAGTATTCTTATGGTGGTTTGGTCTTGTCTGGCTACCAGGTGGTGGAGTCATAGTTATTAACTTATTGATCACATCCACAGGGATGTCACAACACCCACCCTGCTATTTTACTTTCAAGAAACACATCCCCTATGCAGGTCCTTCAACCTGGCTTATCTTCAAGGCCAATCCACCTTCCAAAAGAATTGGAATTATTCTTTTGCACTTCTCAAACACTTCTTTCTTGCCCCACATGAAAGGGGAACTGAATTGCAAGTAAACTGACAGCCTTCTTGCATGACCTTGGCAGCTGTCTTCCCCCTTCCAGACCTCATACACAGACTTCCACCTTCAAGGTGGGCTCTTACCATCCTCAGTGCTCCCACTGCTCCTGCAGGAAGAGCCAGAGGGGCTGTGTAGCAGGATCTTGAGGCTCCCTTTCCCACTGACCTCATGGAACAGAATGGGCTACAATGGGTCACCCTTCACAGCTGAGGTGCTGACAGCGAGAGAGCTTTTCTTCAGACTTTCAGGGACAGGAAGATGCTCTCTCCACAGTTAGTGCATCCTCTTTGCTGATTCCTGGTCAGGCCCTTTCTCCCCCTCACTCGATCCATCGACAGTGGATCACCTCCTTGTCCACTGTTTCTTTTCTCCTACTGGGACAGTTACCACACGTGTTGTTTGGGTCCCTACCTCAACCCTGGTGTTCCCACATGAGAGTTGGGTGTCTGCCTCAACCACCATGTTCTTAACTGTAGTTTGGATGCATGGCTCTACTGTGACATCCTCAGAAGTGATTTGGGTCCCTGTCTGAATCACTGTCCTCTGATACTACTGAATGGTGACTCAACAGGCACAGGTCAAGCTCCAATATTTTCTAAAAGCTGCCACCCAGGGACCAACCACCTCAGGGCATGTTTCACTGTTGCCATACCAAAAACTCATCTCTTCTTATGCCACCCTGACCAGATACCTCAAACCCCACATTAAGTCAATAGAGTTAATTAGTATTTTTAAACACCTCACACTAAGATGGAAAAGGAGTTGTGAGTCAGCACGAAACAACCTGTGTCATTCTTGGGTGAGAAGGGAGAGGTGTATTCCCTCATCCTCCCCACCAGGCAACTCCCCCAGCACAGTATCATCTTTCCTGGCCACCAAAATCCTATCACTCCCCCTCCTCAGAGAGTAAGGGGGGGGGGATATAAAATTAAAATACTGTGTGTTGAGATAAAGGCAGTTTAATGAAGTTAAGCAAGGAAACACTGCAGAAACACAGCAAAGCAAAGAGATTTATTATCACCTTCCCATCAACAGGCAATGTCCAGCCACTCCTGGGAAGCAGGGTCACATTTAGCAGTTTATTCAGAAGACAAACAATCTACTAACCAATGCTCCACCACCCCCCACCTACTATTTTCTCTAAGCAATTATTGCTGACCATCATGTCCTATGGTATGGAATATGCCTTTGGTCAGAGTCAGTCAGCTGTCCTGGCTGTGTACTCTCCCAGCCTCTTGCCCACAACCACACTACAGGTGTTCTGAAGAGGAGGCTGGAGATAAGGAACTGATGCTGGGCAAGTCCTGCCCAGAAAAACTCAAAACACTTCTGTGTTCTCAGCACCATTCCAGCTCCAACTACAAGGAACTAGAAGAGGAGTTAATGGGGTGAAACTTGACTCCATCTTACGTAGGCCCCGTACAATGCTGTTAACCATCACTGCATATTAGCCCAAGCAAACACTCACAGAAACACACCTGAAAAACATCTTATTCCCTGGGCATCTTGAGAGAGCACCTGCAGGGGAAAGGATGATGCAGAGACACCGGCTGGGATGAAACAGAAATTTATTGAGTCAAGAGGGAAGCGAGGTTCCCCTGAGTGGAGGTCCCAGTGAGGGAGCACCAGGGACAGAAAGGAATCTGTGCCCCTTTAGCTGTGGTAGAGACCCCACCAGGTGTCAACCTGCCTGACCCAGAGAGGGAACAGGGCCAGCAGGTCCTCCCCAGGCTGGTTCTGTGTGGCTGAGAGCCCACAGGAGCACAAGGGAACAAGGACACAGGACGGAAAGGAGAGAGTGGCAGACTCCCCCGATCATTTTGTGATGGCATATGCAGGGGAAAGGATGACACATAGGCAAGGGCTCGAATGCAGCAGAACTTTATTGTGTCAAAAGGTGGAAA